TTTTTTTTTTTTTTTGTGGGTTTTTCATCTCTAAAAAGTTTAGATTTTTCTTCGGCCACAAGTCATACACTGCTCTGACCAACTACTGTTAGACAAATGTATTCTGTTTTATTCTTGTGAAATCAAGTGGGCTCTGGATGTGGAGCCCAAAACAAGAAAACAAAGCACTCTTCTTGTTGGTGTGTGTTTTTTGAATTAGATTGATGGGTTCTTGAATGAGTGCAGAAACAAATTTAGAAAAGCTGCTTGTTTTTCTTTTAATGTTTGTGAAGAACTTATAATAACAAATTTATAATGAATTTTCTCTTGTTACCATTTTGCATAAATTCAGGGGAAAATACCTCTATGTTTGGTATATGCATAAGTGCACATAATGTGACTGCACTTTGTAGTGTTTTGGCATCTCGAGGCATAGAATATGAAGTAACTCGTGTGCATAACGTGCTATTTAAACAAGGTATATGGAGGAGACGACGGATGGCCCTTTATCGAGGAATATTCGTACAAGGAACTCATTGAGGCCTTGCTTCGGGATGTGAATGAAGAGGATAATAATGCAGTTGATACAAAGGTGTAGTCACTTCTCATCAATTAGTGCATGTTTGCTTTCGTTAGTCGAGTTTACTATGATGAGGTTCGGATTAACTTTTGTTTGATGTGCTACTATTAGATGTTTGTAGCATAAGTGCATTATATAATACAGAAATTGCTCATGAGAAGTGTGTCATTCGGTTTGACTTTGTGTTTTTGTCATGATGATATGAACTTGCTGATTTTATTTAACTTCTTTTCTATGATCATTACGAGTAAAAATATCATAGTTTTTTGCACTAAATAAAGGAACACTGGCAGTCTCAACCGAGAGTTTTCAAAAGTTTTGTGCTCGTAACTAAGAACTATTTGATGGCTTTTATATAGAATCTGAAAGTTTTGGAAAGTTGAGAAGTTAGGTGACGACTCCACATCTTTTCATCATTCGTGACTTGTTTTGCAGCTACTTTGTTTAAGAGTTCTCTCAGGTTTAAATGAAAACTTTGGTCAAAACTTGGAAAGAACTATCATTTGAACCATTTATATAGCTTTGACACAACTTTTCCAATTTCTGAAAATGTACTTCTCTTTTATCTCAACTTTAGAAAGCTAAGGTGGAGCAGTCTTACTGAGTACCTTATAAAATCAGTATATGAACAAGCAATGAAAATTCTAATTATTTGTTGGATTTCAGTGAATTATCGATTTGTTGTGTTCGCATGATCTATTGTAATCATATGATTTCCCACTTCAGCTGTGCATTTTTTGGACTGATATAACCGAAAACTTGGGCTTAAAAATGTGTCGTTTAACTAGTTCTGACACTCAAAGTTCTTCAGTCCTTTTATAATGTAGCTTTGTCTTGCTAAGAAAATGGTGCTTCAACATTTTTTTTTACCCTATTTTCTCCTAACCAAGGAGACTACATTTCTTTTGGTTGCAAATACAATTCAAATTCTCAATTTACATAAACAGTGTCTGAAAATTTTCCTTACGATTTAAAAGGCATTGATAAATTTATTTTTCGAAACTTTTAATTTTCATCCAAGCAAAAGTTATTTACTTAAGATCCATAAAAGTAATGTACATTTCTATTCCTAGGAGAAGAACTCGGAGGACCAATCTGAAGACGTGACTTCCTCTAGCATTGCACAAACCGAACAACACGAGAAAACCGAAGAAAGTATACCTGGAGGCCACTTGCCACGTAGGCTCCAGCCATGCTACGGCTGGATCGAGAGTGATGAAGAGGAAGACGATGATTTCGTATTCCTAAAGCCCTCATCCTGCACGAGACGAATCTCAAGGTGGGATTTGAAACCCGACGATCCTTAACCTGCGCTGTTAAAAAATGTGTTTGAAAAAAAAAAAAGATACAATCTTTGATGAAAATATGCTTTGACTTTGATCTCTGTAATGAATCTTATCCCCATTTTTTGTGGCTGCAACTTTGTCATTGGGAACATTATTTTGAAGATGTTTTAGGTTGCATTCATAATTCAGATTGAAGAATGGTTTGGTTACAAAACGTGTGATCTTTCTTATGTAATCTTTGGATTCAATGAATATCAGATTTTTTAAGTACTCTTTAGGCTAAAGTGCACATTAAATTCCAACATTTATTTTATTTTATTCCATTTGTAATTTAATCTAAACCTTTTATTTTTTTTATAATAAAATATATGAGTTTTCGATTTTGTAAATTGAAGCATACAATCAACAAATTGAGTGTCAAATGCTTACGTGTCCGACTCATTATAGAGAGGGGGAGATGACATAAATATCACAAATAAGAATAATAAAAACAAATTCAAAAAAAAAAAATGAAAGCTCGTGACTTTTATTGATAAAATTTAAAAACTATAATTGCATACTTTTATTATTAAAATTTAAATTAAAAATTGCAAAGATGCATAATAGGGATTTTTATTCATTTTGGCCCAAGACAAAATGATAAGGTCACATTGACGCGTGTTTGGATCACATTAGCTGATTGATATCAAATTTATTAGATTTTAGGCGCCTAAAAAGATAAGATTTTTTTTTTTTCTCAGTAGCCAAACTCCATCTTCACAACTCAAAATTTGAAGCTAATCTCTTGAAATATTGTGTTTCTGGGCACTTACGAACAATCCCTGCTTCCCTAAATCCATGTTTGCAGCATCCAATTGACCGGAAATTTCGAGGGTTTTCTGCAGCGATGAATTTGTCGGCGAGTTTTGGCGGCAATTCGGTCGTTCATCTGCCGCGGTGTGGCTCGTGCAGCGGCGTTCTTTTCTCTTGTCCGGCCATTGCGAGCTGGAAATTCAGCTCTCGCTGCTCGCTGAGGTGATTTTTCGAGTTATGATGTTTCTGTTCATGTTGGGTTGATGTTAGAATTCCAGCTGAGAGTTTTATTTGATTGTTGTATTGTGATTTGTGAGTTCAAGTACAAAGTTGCCTCTCTCTATTTTTAGTTTAGTTAGTCTTTTTCGTTCAGGGGGAACTTAAAGGTCATTTGCAGAGTGAGCGGGCCAGAGGCAGAGCCCGAGAGTAACAATGACGAGGTAGTATTGGATTTTTGTTATACTTTTGGTCCTGTAAAATGCTTATTCCTTCCTGTTGTTTTGTGGCCGTTATGTGTTGTGGGTGATATGAGTCCTGAATTATGAAGGAAAGGAACATAGATGGAGAAATCGAGGGAACTGTGTCGAGTGGTTCGAGTTCCGGTATTAGCTCAGAGCAGGGTTCTCAGAATGTGGTTAATGATCAATCTCTTGAGTCAAAAAGCTTGATGAATAGCGACACTAATGTAGAAACAGGTGCAGGGGCCAAATTTGAGGTATGCTAAATGTATGTGGTTCGGTGATGATAGTGTTGTCTGATTGGCTACCCGTCGAATTTTATCATTTTGGTTTGCCCTTCACAATTTTTTTATTTTTTTTTTCATTTTGCATTTTCGTGTCATAGAACCTTTTCATTTTCTAGCTTAGTTTTGTTAAAATTATTCTGTGTCTTATCTGTTCTACATATTGGTTCATGTGGTCTTGGTGGTTAAAATGCTGCCGCGAACAACTTAATATAAGAACTTTTTGTGTCGAAAAGTCTGTTGGAAGTACATAATGTTTCGACTGTAGAATTTCAAGTTTCATCTTCATGTGCCTCTTTTAACTTTTATCTGAAAATTCTTCTTTCATTATGTTTACCTTATCAACAGGATGTTAAAGACGATCAAGTTGCAAGCGGGTCGCCACTTCCAGGTGTGAAGGTGGTAATAATGTAGAGTAACTTATGTTCTAGCCGCTCTCTCTCTCTCTCTCTCTCTAATCCCTCTCTTTGCTAAATATCCTGGCTTTGGTCTCTCCTCAATACTTTATGAATAGCAGATGGAATTTGCCGAATCCATCAGAATCCCAAAGGAAACTGTTGATATTCTGAAGGACCAAGTGTTTGGTTTCGACACGTTCTTTGTGACCAGCCAAGAACCATATGAAGTGAGTTCAGCCAGTAGGTTTTATGTTAGCATGTGGTAACTAAATACAAAGGTAAACCAATTTAGCACTCTTCTGTACCAGGGTGGGATATTATTCAAGGGAAATCTACGAGGGCAAGCTGCGAAAAGCTACGAGAAAATTACAAGAAGGATGAAAGTTAGTACATTTGTATTTTATAATTAAGATGAGAGAGTTTAATGGAGGTTCTCATATTATTGCTTACATGATTTTTCACATATTATATGCAGAACAAGTTTGAAGATCTTTATAAAGTGTTCCTTCTAATTAATCCAGAGGATGATAAACCTGTTGCTGTTGTTGTACCAAAGAAGACATTGCAACCAGATACCACTGGTATTTTATCAATGATTGTTGAAAGTTCTTTCCCTATTAGTTGGTTTAGAAAATTTAAATATTGCATCATTAAACCGTTGAATCCTGGTTTGAGTAATGCAGCTGTTCCAGAATGGTTTGCCGCTGGGGCTTTCGGATTAGTCACTGTATTCACCTTACTTCTTCGTAATGTTCCTGCTTTACAGACTAATATATTGTGAGTATTACTGAAAATTTAAAATGTTTTATTTCTTTTAGTCTTTACGTGCATTACTACATAGTTAACACCTGAAACTTGTGAAGTGATATTGAATTCATGGTCATGATCAGAAAATTTACCTACGGTTTCGAAGCGTAAAATGAACATGATTTAGCCGTAACATTTGTTAATTGCTTGTTTCCAGATCAGTATTTGACAATGTTGAGTTGTTGAAAAACGGCCTTCCTGGAGCTCTTGTAACTGCTCTTATTATGGGAGTACATGAAATCAGTCATTTTCTAGTTGCTAAAGAAGCTGGAATTAAGCTTGGAGTTCCTTACTTTGTGCCAAGTTGGCAGGTGAGGTTTTAGTTTATCTTTTGAAAGTCGATAATAAAGGTGACAGTGTCATATTTGTTAATTTGAAAGAACGGTGTATAAAAATGAAAATATATTTATAAATTGTACTTTAATTTCCTGTTCCCACTTTCCATTTTCAAAATGTATGCACATAATTAGCCATTCTTGATCTACCAAATTGTGAAGAAGTTTAGTTCCACGTAGAAAGCCTAATGAGCTTTTAAATGACAGATTGGATCATTCGGTTCCATAACAAGGATTCGCAATATCGTGCCCAAACGTGAGGATCTCTTGAAAGTTGCAGCAGCAGGTCCTTCAGCAGGGTTTGCTTTGGGCCTTGTGCTTTTGCTTTTGGGATTCTTATTGCCTCCGGCTGATGAACTTGGTCTTGTTGTAGATCCTTCTGTTTTTCATGAATCACTTCTAGTCGGTGGTCTAGGTACATTTTCTCTTGCCTGCATAAACAATTCGAGAAAAGAAGAAAAGAAAGAAATTTTACTTTTAAATATAGAACAATTACAAAAAACAGCGCTTGACGCGAAGCCTAATTACAAAAATCTCCGAAAACTATGACTTTTAACTACGTTAAGGGGAGTACTTGTAACTTTGGAATGTAACAGGACGCACTTTCTATAATATGCCGAAACCTTACTAGCTTAAGCTTAGTTTCTGCAGTGAAACATTTTTAAGTTATTCTAGTTTGTGATCCTAAAACTCATTCGGTTATCATTTTTTTAGCACGATTCAATATTTCTTTGTAGTTTATGAGCTGAATCTCTCTCCTCTGCGTGTGTGTGTGTGTTGGAAATAGCCAAGCTACTTCTTGGTGATATTCTAAAAGAAGGCACCCAGTTATCGGTAAATCCACTAGTTATATGGGCTTGGGCCGGGCTTCTCATAAATGCTATTAACAGCATTCCTGCAGGAGAGCTAGACGGTGGCCGGATTTCTTTTGCCATCTGGGGAAGAAAGGTAACTATCCAAATCCTGAGGGGTACATTTTTACATCCAAACTGAACATGGAAACTAACTCACTCGAGCAACGGATATGATTTTTTCACGCAGGCCTCATCTCGATTTACTTCAGCCTCGATCGTGCTTCTTGGGCTGGCCTCGTTGTTTAGCGACGTAGCCTTTTACTGGGTGGTTTTGATATTCTTCCTGCAAAGAGGCCCGATAGCGCCTTTGTCAGAGGAAGTCACGGGCCCTGACGACAAGTACAAGGCCCTTGGGATAACGGTTTTGCTAGTTGGGCTCTTGGTGTGCTTGCCATATCCATTTCCATTTACAAGTAATGTTATTGACAGTTTTTAGGAACAGCCAGCAGAAGTTTTTGATAAGTATTTTATCTTGAGGCGATTTAATTAGAGGCCAATATTCGAACAAAATTGTTTGCAAACACGACCCTATTTCAACTTACTAGCTTACTTAAATGAGTTGAGTTCAAACAGCTAATCAAGCTCGTCTATTAAATGAGCCAAGGTGAACTTGTTTGCAGATACCTTTTTTATGGGTGTCACCATGAAATAGTGAAGCCAAATTTATTCAGTAAGTTGAGCCAAACTTTCATTACCGTAAACGAGACACGCCGAGTTCAACTGACTCATTTATTAAATAAGCACAAGCTCGAAAATCATCGACTGTTTCAATCTACCTCATGTTACAATCTACATTGTGAGTTATGACGGAAACCATGACATGTAAACCATGATGAACATGTTTGGAACCTAAACCCAAAATGCTCGCTACCCTTGGTTAGGCCCAAACTTGACTAAGCCCAATATTAGCAAGTTTCCATTTTTGGCAACCGAGATTCAAGTTTTAAGTTTTAACAACTAAAAATAGTTTTTTTTTTTTTTT